CTTAAGTTTTATTTGCAGTACTTTTCCAGGTTGACATCTTGAAACATTCTTATATAGCATACAATGCATCACTATCCTATGAATGTTTCTTTTTCTTATCAGCAAAACAATGTCCTTTCTACAGGTGTGTCAATAATCATCCATGACATCGAAAAGAAGAAAAAAAAAAGACATGATCATATGTTTATAAAGCTAATATCATTTGCTTCTTTTATTATACTTAAAAAACAATCGAAATTTATCATACAGAAATCAGATATTTTTATTATGACAAGAAGTTTTATTTACCTCTTATTACTAATACGTACATCAATTGACTAGACATTTTTTTTTATTGATTCCGTCTTATATTGACGTAAAAATCCACTAAATAAAACTATGAGTGATTATTTCTCTATACTAAATAGTATGACATTACATATTAGTTTGTCATAAAATCCATTCTTATCAAATGTCTGTCATAGAAATTACACAAATATTTTTTCATCGCTGAATTCTTTTGCTGAAAGAAATTACCAAGATTCATTTTGTATGTCTCATGAATGATGTCATATATATAATATGATGCAAAATCGTTGCTAAGACTATTTTTGTTTCTACGATTTAAGTCGGTAAAATCCAACATACGTCTTCATATATATAAAAGGTAGCGATTGCGTACATATCAACCCACAAGTATAGACACGTAGCCACACTTCGGCGAAAGACGTTTTCTTTCTGTTCTTTCACATATATATTTATATGTTACCTTTTTCTTACTATTGCTCGTCAACAAAAAAACACTCACACTTATAATTCCAGTCTTATTTATAAATTCTCGAGTTTTACTCTAACGTTATAGTTAACATCGTTGATATTTCTTTTATTACAAGTTACTGTGTTCATAATTAATGGAAAATTTTACAATGTATGATGAATGTAATGAAAATTTTGATCCATTATTTTCGGACGATATGTTTAATATTAGTTCGGATGATTTTTCTATGGATGATGATTCTGATATAATTTTAACGTCTATTAAAGATTGGTTTAATTTACCATCCACAACTAATCCAGATGATATTCTTGATACGTATTCTGATGAGATACCACTCAATAGAAAAGAATGGTTGATACAAGATTCGCCGTCGCAACGTTATAGAGCTCCACGTCTTTTTGAATTTTTAATTCTTCTTCTAAGAAAATCACATTATGAATCTTATGCATCATTTACCGATCAATCCAAAGGTATTTTTCAAGTTCATCGACCTGATAAAATTGCTGAACTATGGCAAGCTGTAAAAAGTCGACAATCACAACAAAAAATGACCTATGATAAATTTGCAAGAGCTATTAGATGGTATTATAAGTCAAATTTAATGCAAAAAACGAATACTCGATATACATTTCAATTTTCATCGAAAACATTAGAAAAATATTTCATTGATGAAAATAACAATTCGTCGACGAATTTACTATTATAAGGTTTCAAAAATGAATTATTCATGTCAACGGTCATGAATTTACTATTTATGGATATATGAGAATCAATAAGATTACTCCGGTTCGACTAAAATTAGTCCTAAAATGGTTCAGATAATATTGACTAATCTGGAATAAATACAATATATGAAATTTTTTTATAGCTTTTTTTGTAACGTCCATGTAGTATTGTTATTTGTGAATAAAATGTATCCAAATTTTGTATTTATATCATATTATTGTGTAATTGATAAAATCCTAAAGAGAAACTACGCCTTTAAAAAGTTTATGTGATTCATAAGTAATCTTCTACGACAGTGGATTTTTTTGATTTCTATAAAAAAATAATTTGCGTCAATTTTTTGTAAGTAAAAATATGACCTCGAATTTTTCTGAAGATCCTTTCAAACTATTTATAATCTAACAAATACTAATAGGAATTTTGCACAATGGAGTAATTAAACCAACAGTTCAAAAACATCTAATAGAATTTTTATATTTCTTAGTTTTGATAATGAGGACAAATAACGAGGTATTATCATGTCTATAAAAACAATTTGGACTATGACTTTATATTTTAAGAAATCTTATGATAAGAATAACACATTTTTGTCAGCTGTCTATCGCGTAAAATTCTCTATTTTTTTATTTTGATTATTTGACATCAGTTTTATAAAGAAAAAAGAATATATTATATTATTTGTTATAGACAAAATATTGACGAGGTAAAATAAAATCAGACATGATTTTTTTGGCAGACTGCCACCGTTTCGTTCTATTTAAGTATTTTTACAATTCTTTTTTTTCTATACATCATTACTCAAGTATATACCTCTGGAATAAAAGAATGACGTAAATTACATTATTATAATGAAAATTTTACTACAAAAAAATGATCACGGAAATGAAAAAAAGTCTTATTAGTGATCGTGAATTTCATTCGATGAAAATTGTGCAATTTATAAGTACATCATGCGATATGAATCATTGAATGTCGACGAAAATTTTATTATGAGAATAATTAAAACTTCATGAAGGTCATGCGGTGAGAAGTGCGCAAAAAATAATTTTATTTTTTTGACATCTAAGTCTGCAAATGATTTAAATAAGAATGTATTTCTAAGCTCTAGGGTAGTAGAACATTCGCCAACTAGCGGAATTCCGGAATCCTTTTTTCATGATTCATTCTTTTCTAATAGCTTATAAAAGTTATACACAATATATTTTATTTTTTCAAATATATGCGAATGATTCGTTTTACTATAATAGTTGTCAACAATTATGTGCACGTGGTTATTATCAATAGATTTAGAAAAAGAAACGGCGTACAGACACCAAAATAAATATATCTATTTCTTTGATATGAATCTAATACATATACTTGATTCATATTTGTCTAAATTATTTTACTAGCTTGCCTATGCGTTCGTCATTAGATTAATTGCTTTTCTTTTTCTTTCTTCATAATTTTCGAAATGAAAATTTCATGTGTGTATTGTTAGAGTTAATTATGATTATTTGTTTACCTTATAAAATCAAATTAATGACATCATCATATCTAAAAATACACCTGTACAGATTATACTGAATGACTGTCTGACTATCGTAAATAAAAAATAGAATAATTTGGAATTGGAATATAAGAAAACAGTATTTGTTTTTTTAAATTTCATTTATTTTCATTGCAGAAGTATTATTTATATTCTAATAAAATTTAGTACAACAAAGAAATACGAAATAAATGAGTAAACAAAAGAGAAAAAATAGTGACACTTTTCTTTTCTTACTTTATCGTATAAAACAAAGAAATATCATAATAAATAATATGCATTACTCGTATTTTTACTCGAACGCACACGCGATTAATACTAAAGTATTCATATGGCTTGGCCTAAAAATTGCACTCATAATCTACGGTAACTATTATAGATTTTTCTTAAATTTTTTTTCTTAATATTTATATATAGATCTAGACGAGGACGTTTTCTTGTATTAGCGGGAATAACTATATTGATTGCAGCAATCATTGCAGCTATCGTAGTTAGTGTTACTGATTCTAAATCTCAATCGAAATCTGATCTCAATATAACACAATCACCTATTCGTTAGTTTTATTTATTTGTTGTATTTTTTAATATTATTTCTTTTATTAAATCAATCTAGCATCTACTTTCAATGCCACCTATATATCAGTTAACTCATTTATTCAATCATTGAATGAACTTAATTTGAATTCAAGTGATCTGGCACAATTAGCACGTAGTGTAAGTCAAGAGTATTTATGTGATAGATTTTATATGAATTTCTATTTAATTAGTTTGAATATGGTCTTAATTTAAGTGTACAAAATGTATTACAAATTCGTACTATCGATTTAAAGGCACCAGTAGAAAAAATATCCAAAACTCGACGTAAACGAGCGTATGTAATCGAATTATCTTTTGAAAATTTCTATATTGTTTTGATAATTGAAATATAGTGTACAATGTGATCAAAATGTAGGTAATGTAAATGGATCTGCACTTATGTTTGATTTCAATCTTATCTATCCTCCTAATAATACATGTCAAAGTCAAACATGTATTACTGAAATGTTTACTACAATTTATCAACGTTTTCGATCTACTCTATCATTCCTAATCAATTTTCAAAATAAACAACAAACATTCGATTTATGTTCAATTACTCCATTATCTGTGTCAGGTAACTATATAGTACTTGATTAAAGTTTTAAATTTTTATAATATTTAATTTAGCTGATTCATCATCAGAGCAAATTCCAACATCGATATCAAATATTACAACTACACCAGTATTTACAAATATATCTTCAACAACTGTAAGACCTAGCACGACTACACCAAACTTTTCATCTACTGAAACGATTAATACAACTATACCATCTACAACAGAGCCAGTACTTTCTACAGAAAGATCAAATTTGACATCAAACGCAACTATTCGTATGTTATTTGATAGTATTAATTATTTTGATTGTTTTTTTTTCTCGTATTAGCTGATATTGATATTTGTTTAAGAAAACTACCGATTATACAAGGTACGTAAAAACATTTTATTTTTTAATTTTTGAAAATATCTTTGTTTTGTAATTATAGAACAAACAGCTCCGTATAGAATTTCGTATACAAGTACATTATTTTTTCAAGATGAACATACACTTATCGTTGTTGGAGCATCGAAATTCGAAACTTTTTTTGATATGCAAACAATAGAAAGATATATCATCATTGATGGTGTTATGGTATATAATAATTGTCAACGAGTAATGGATGTTTCATTACCAATGATAATGTAATCCTTCTATATATCATCATGATTATGAACGATATTCACAATAAACTATAAGATTTAAAATCATCGAAATGTCAAATATTAAGAAAAATGTAATTATTTTCTAGTGTAAATTTTTTCATTAATGATATTTATTACGAAAAATAAGTTCATTCATATAATCAAAGATCTTTTAGTATCTTGATTAATAATGTAATATACAAATATTTTCTACTAGATAAAAAAGTTTAAATTGAAAATTTAATCATAATTTTTGTTTCCATATCATCATTATCTATTGATTCACCATCAATGATCTCAATTTTTGTTTTTCGATCTAACCAAAACTGATTTTGTAAAAAGTCATCTTTAATCAAAGCTTGTGCAATATCCATTTCATTTTCAAATGGGATTATATATAATATAAATTGTTTAAGTTTTAATAAATATTTTTCAATTAAATCTTCCCATTCATAACTATTTAAATCATCATAATTTATTGGAATAAAAGAAAGTGTTAATTCTTCTAAATTAGGACATTGTTTCAATAAGTTAACAAGTAATTCTAGCGTATATAAAGGTACTTTTAAATGACAAGTAATTAAATTTAATGATAACGGATAATCAGTAATGTGTCTATTTAATCTAACATTTGCACTTAAATACTGAAGTTTTGGAAAACGTGAAAGTATGTTTTCTATATCGTTAGTTCGTATATTATGTAAAAATAAATGTTGTACAGTCGAAGATATATTTTTTGATAATAGAGAATCATTAAGTGACAGTAATTCATTATGACAAATAATTTCCTTATCCTTTGATGCCGATAAAAATAAGTATTTTAATGATTTAAAACGGGAACTAAAATGATAAAGAACAACTCTGTACATATTTGATACTTTTTCTGCACATAAATTAGATCGAAATGATATTATCAATGATTTCAGATTGTCTAACTGAAAATGTTGATGAGCAATTGTATACATTGTATATAATCCGATCGAATCAAGCGTTAATGCATTTAAAGAAACCATACTTTTCAATGGAAAACAATTGTTATCTAAAATTCGATCTATCTGTTCATCATAATATTCATCAGATAATATAAGACTATTTACATTTGAACAATTTATAGTTGAAATCATCTTGAATAAAAAAGAAATTACATATAAATATTAAATTAAAATCTATAAAATAATTACCTTTCGACTTTCGTTGACTGTTATCTTGCTTAGATCGATATATTTCATGCCATAGGTTAATATTAATGTTGATAAACGATGATTAAGGCCATAAAATGCTTTATAATTATCATAGCCATTCATATACGAAAATATTTCAAGAAATATTTCAGGTGGAAAAACTTCTAATGTAGTGATTGATATATTGGACATTTCAACAAATAATAAGAATTGTCTGTTTTATAGATTGTAGTCACTTCCGATCAAATATAAAAATTGATTTATTTTGATAAATACACCTGTCTTGTGATGCAAAAAAGAAATAACCAACTGATTTTCTTTTGTCTACATAAAATGACTCGCCTGTTTTTACACGTTCTCTTCTTTTTTAACAATATTTTTTTTTCTAAAACACAAAATATGAAGAATATTTTACATATAATTATAAAAATGGTAAAATTCAATCACTTTTTATTCAAAATAAATTTGGAAACGAATAATAAGAGTGTGGGTGTGGATGTGGATGTCTCTTTTTCATGCATACCCACACCCTTGAGTCATTGTCAGGTCCATCTTGATAAATAAGTCTGATTGTACCTAAACGATCTTATGCAAGGAAATAATTATCTTGAAGGTGTAAGATGTGAATGTTGGTATATATTCCGTAAATTCACACATACACACTCACATCTACATCTTCAGAGTGTCTTAAAGTCTAGCATATACAAAAATATGAACATCTCTTGTATGATATGCAAAGAATTTAAAAAAAAATGATTTATTATTGTTTTGAAAAATATGACAAAATATCTTAGAATCAGTCTCGTTTACATTCATGTTTACACCATCAGTGGTATACAGCAGAATTTATTTTCATGATAAAATTTTTATCGATATTTTTGAGCTTTTGGTCCAGATCGGTGTTTGAATTTGTCAAATTTTGGCCATTTCGGTAATGTATTAAAACGTCCTGATCGAGCTGACTGAGCTTCATTTTTCTTTCGCTCTTGCCTTTGCTCTTCCTCTTGCCGGAGATCATATTGGAAACTTTCAATATCGTCAAATGATTCAGGATTGTATAGTACACTTATACAATCTCTTATAGCCTGTAAATTCATCAAGTAAGCTGAACGATCACGACGTATTCTGAAGTAAATTAACTCTCGATCCAAGTAGAAATTGTTTTCAACTGAATCTTCTAGGTCAAAATATCTCTTAAATCTATATATACCACCTATAGATTGAAGATCAGTATAAACTTTATCTTTGGACACATAAATACCTTTCCAAGCAAAAGTATTGTTGAAGTTTGGTGGAAGAGATTGATCCTTATTGTCTAAATATTTAATAAAGTCAATTTTAATATTTCGAATGATTTGTTGAGTTGTTGGCAGTTGTTTTTGTTGATTATCAGAAAATAATGAAAAACAATATTTTTTAATTATTTTCAATGTATGATAACGAAATCTTGAATGGAAAATATTCGGGTTTGAGAAAATAACCATGAGTAATGTGAAGATACTATTTATTGTTCCCAAATCATTTAAGTTGTAGGCATTTTTACTAATACCGATGATAAATTGAATAGCTACATTACGTACTTCACAGATATCCGCTTGACACCATTCAATATGTTTGTTCGTATCATCAACATCAATGGGATTTGTCAAAACAAGTTTTTGGTTTTTAAGAAGAGGAAGTGGTAATGGATCAATACATAGATAATCATAAAGTTCAAGCATATGTATTACATTTGCTTCGTGTGTTAGTTCAGTAAATAGAGCAGATGGCTGTTCTTTAATAACCGATTGAAAGATCGCCATTAACCAGTTATAAAAAATGGGATATTCTAATATATATTCACCATCGTTGGTTTTATTGACTGCGAAATCATCTGTATGACTTACAAGAGCAAATAAATAAGGAAAATGATTGAGTTGTTGTTGTGTAATTTGAACAGTTTTCTTAGTAGTACCAAAACGAAATCTGTAGATTGTTTCATTTGTTTTCGATATTGCATCCATTTGTTGAGATATTTATTTCACCAAATGACTGTTTTTTAATCGTTAGAAGTTAATAGTAAAATATATATCCTTTTGTTTTTCATTCTGTTGATATTTAGTCATCAAAGACTTGGTTTTCTCCTAAGAATTGATATGAATTTAGTGACACATGTTATGAATCATATCTAAAAGTAAGAACACATATATATCTATACAATAATGACATCTATTGTACTTTGAAGTACAATGGAAGAAAACTTAATTTACATGTATTTTAATTGGTCAACCTTTGCGTTGCTATAAAAATCATATATAAATGGAATATTACATCCATGCTTCACTTATATTTATATTTATATCTACTCTACCAATTTCTGAATATCTTGAGAATGTGAGTGTTGTATGCTTTTCTCATCGACACCCAAATCAATGAATTGACATTTTGGCATTCTTTTAAATTTATATGCTGGATTATATGAAATTAATTTAGTAGAAATTGATGATGATCATATATTAAGAATATACATGTCAGTACATCGAATAATTGTTTATTATTTAATTGTGGGACTTGAATAGAAAGGATTCTCTGTTAGATATTTGAAGATATCTTTTGTATTTTCCAAATTGATTGATTAGATGATTATTCTAAATAATTTCTTCGAATATTTCCCTATAAATTAAATAATAAGGAAAGAATATTTGATTTGACATCTCTTATTCAGGTGGAAGTTGATCGATTCTTAATCTTCATTCTCATCCATACCCACGCCTTGAAGATGCTTGGCATAATAATATTATTTTAGTTTATTTTAACAGAAAATAAAAAATAAATAATTTCTGAATTGAAGCTATTCTATTGCTATAGAAACATTTGTAGGTAAGTATATGTATAAGGATACATCATGGTATTATACCATGCATTTTCATACACTGGATATTGGTTATTTATCATGCCAGCATGATCATAGTGAGGATATGAAAAGTTTCCGGTGTGAGGCCAAATACTCTGAGTCATATATTGATTTTGATGAATGGGAGGATCGAATTGCATAGAATCGGACCAGGCCTTATTATTACGACTTGGAATAACATTCAAATAAATATGTTCGTTACAATTCGTATATAGATATGGTATTTGGCGGTTCGTTGTGGCTCTTTGAACATCCACAGCTGCATTTTTCAACACGATATCAATATCCGTATTTGCTGCTCTAATATAACGAAGTAGATATTTGGTGTATATACTATTTTCACCAAAATGTCCGGCCTCAGAGTTTTTTCCTGCCGCACTGGAAAAAGCGATAATCGTTGATGGTGGTCCTCCCATTGGCACGAGACCATTTCTCAATCGTGATCTTCCATCGAGGCCAAGAGCTTGGTACAAAGACTCCATACGATTACGACAACCATCCAGAATGCAGATAACCACTCTTGGTCTGTTCTGATGCATCTCTCTAAGTAAGTCCTGAACATTAGGAAGATTGTCTCCAGTGGAATCTACTCCGTGCAAATAATTTTTCCCATTAAACTCACCAGCATGACCAGAAAAATAGAACACAACGATTGCACCGGGGCGAATAGACTGTGCGAATTTACGAGAGATTAATGACATTTGATCATTTCGAAGATTGATCTGAGGTTGTACATCGAAGCCTATTGAATGTAAAGAACGAGTCATCGTTTCAGCATCATAAACACACGATTGTAACCGGTTTCCTGCTCCGTAATCATCATTTCCAATGACTAAAGCTTGTTTATCGAACATGGTCCTAACACAGATAAATATAGATACGAGGATGTTAAATATTGAACATGAAGCAACTAAAAAAAAATATGTAAATTATGTTTTTGGAACTTTATATAAACAGTAGCTAAGCAAAGATGTAGTTGTGATTATTTCAAACTCAGGGATTCAATAGTTATTAAGTCTCTTGCTAAGAAAATAATCTATTTCAATTAGATTATTCACTGAAGGAAAATTTCTCGATTCATAATAGAAATTGCGTTAACCAGGACTCTCTATAAAGTATAGGTGTGATCGTCATCAACTTGAGAGCTTCTACCGAATAAAAATTGTAGTTTTTTTATCAACATTATACTTCTACAATGAATCAATACGCAAAACAAACAAGTATTCGATTATGACAAGATTGATAAAGGTTTTTTCTAAGAATGTTGTAGAGTAAACTGTCATGTTTTGAAAAGAAAAAAATTGAGTGATACACACGTCAAATAGATGTTTTCAGTCAAAAGTTTTTAAGGATGAATGATTTTTCCGCAATGTTTCGACTATCAACATGCAAAAAACTAACCATTACATAATTTAATGATGTTTCGTCATAGGCATTTATCAAATTGCGTCATTGTGAGTGCAGTGTATTGAGGAAAATGATGTATTCATATGAGTCATTTGATTAGTTGTACGTACAAATACTATGTAAATATTTCATACTGAGTATAGGTTATTGCATACATTTTCATCATTTACAATTCAATTTAACGAAGTAGTAACGTAGAACTGTTATCTAGAATAAAACTATAATTATCACATTTTTTTTAGATTATCATATCAATTCAAATTTATTCGTATACCATCTGACTTGAATCAAGCATTGGTCATTGGCAATGATACTTACGAAATAAAACCGAGACAAACTTGCGTGAATGATGCAGATGATGTCTCGTCTGCACTACGTTCAATTGGATTTATAGATTCAATTGCACCAAATGCGATAGCAGTCATTTATTTTTCTGGTCTTGCTGTGCAATATGATGGCTAGACTTACTTGATGCCAATAGATAATCATTGGATGTCTTCAGAAAATATCAAAGAGTTGGTATTTAATGCGGTGGAAATCATTGCACTTATGCATACCAAAAAACCTAGAGCAGTTATATTCATTCTCGACTGCGTGTGACCTTATCAAACTCTTGTAGGTGAAACACCTTTTTTTGTTGACAGAGAACCATTGGGAGTATTGTAAGGTATGGCACCAGTACATCCATCACCATCAACGATCATTATTAATTCCTTTGTGAGTCAGGTGCAAAATTCTTCGGTTTAGCATCGTGAGAGTGGGTGTGGGTATTCTATTCTCTCAACACTCATCCGGACTAGCAAGTGTCCTAGCGAATAACTGTTCGACGAGCAAGTGTCCTTTCGAGCAACTGCCCATACGAGCAAATATCCTAGTGAGCAACTGTCCGGCGAGAAACTGTCCTAAACCCGATATTTTTAGAGAAAGTTTTTTGTTCTACTTTTCTTTCATTCATTGAAATTTCTTTGTTTTCATCATGTTGTTCTACATTATATTACACTTTATTTTCCTTTATGTTACTTTAAATAAAGATAATATTATATAAAATACTACGTTTCTCAAAGCGGTTTTACTCTGCAACTGTTTCCTTAATTTTTTACCATTATCATCAACTAATGTGTACAAGTACCTTTGGCGTTACTATAGTGTCTTGAGGGTGTGGGTGAGGACATGAGTGTGAATATGAGAGAAGTACAACACCCACAACCTTACCCACAGTCTCTCGTCGTCCGTCTGTGTGCACTTTGATATACTATAAACAGTCGAGTCATATGCGTAAACGATCATTTATTTTCCTACCATCTCTTCTGACGTATTCCACTATCTTTTTGCTTTATCTTTTACATAAGAACGACCATCGCTATATTTCGATCTTTAGTGTTATCGTGCAGCAGTATTTTTATCTGTTATTATTTATCCAACTTACGATGTTGACTTGATCTTTTTCAAAAAGAAAACTTATAACTAAAGCTATCTCAAAGAACAAGAAAAGTAATAAATCATGCTCAGTTTATGGTAAACGATGACAAGCAACAGATAAACCTCAATCCATTTTATATTCTTCTATTTCTCCGATATCTACATATGATAGTGGTGATGAAAATGATAAACGTTCTCCTGGAAATAACTCATTAGTTATCGATTGTTCAGATCAATCTCAACAAGGTAATAACTTTCAGTTTAGTGAAAACCATACATTTTTTTCTATTTCGGACTGTGCATTTACTCCAAAGAAGGTGATTATTTTGATACGAAGGAAGTAAATATTAAAAAAATGACATCCAGCTCATCAACAACTACCCAACCTTTACTTCCCAGGCCGATGGTCCCTGAAGCAGGATTTCATGAATTTTCGGCAAAATCCTTGAAGTAACTCAATGGGAATACCACGGAACCGGCCGTTTCCGTGCCGGATTGTTCGACCTGGACATGTCGAAAAACAAATTGATTTTTCCTTAGATTGGTTTTGTATCTTTTAGGAGTTTTATAGTGATTTGATGAAATGAATACAAACATTGGGACTTTTACCTGGTACATTATTCATTATCTTTCAATTAATTCTTATGATATGCGTATTGGACATCCTCGATATACTCAATTTCTTAAAGAACCCAACTGTCTTGTATCTTCCAGCGAGAAAAACTAATCAAATTAATCACATGAATTAATATAGATGTTTCTATCGATTACTGATAAATATATCAACGTGTGCTATTGGTCTTACAAATTCTTTCGTCGTGGAATCTATATATAAAGTTCCGTATGCTTAATTGTTGTTTCTATTGCAAAAGGATCAAAGTAACTTCTTTTCGTGTCAACTCAAGCAACGATTCAATAAAAATATACGAATTTATACATCGTAATACAGGTCCTATTTATGGAACATTTATTTAATCAATTAGTTTCTTTCTTAAACTAATATGTATGCTGATTGAATCATATTGAAACATGTATGTCTAGTTATTTTTTTTTCGTAAATAAAAAGAACTTGTCATTTATTTTATGCATTTGGTTATCTATATTGAAAAATGAACTTTTGAATTTTGAGGGTGTGGGTGTGAGCATCTATTTTCTTACCCTCAACCAACATCCTCACGCACACCCATAAGCCACACCCACACCCTATAGGACTGAATGATCTTAATCGAGCAAGTCATTGGACATCACAATTATTTATTGAGAATGCTATCGGACAAATCAGTGAGCAAGATACATAATTTACAAGGCTAGATGTGGATGAGAATCTGCATAAATTTCTACATTCATACTTACATTCACCCCATCAAATTCGTGGAACCAGTGCTACTTAGATATATGTTAACCGGATAATCATGATCAACAATCAAAGTGCATCAAGTTTGCTTTTAAGAATTGGTGCAAATAAAATATTATATGTAGAAAAATATTTCTTGAATAAAATATATTTTGTCAGTAGAGAAAGAGAGATATTAGACAACTGTTTATGTTTAACAGTAAAAAGAAGGAAAAATAAAAATTAATCGTTCATGAGTATATAACTTTATAGTTAATGTGTATATAAGCGTTTTTCACTCAGATAAAGAGGATGTGGGTGTGGTTGAGGCTAAGAGAAGAGATATTCATACCCTCACTCACACCCTAATCCGCTTATAATTATCAGATTCAATTATTCTCTCTGATATTTCTTTTCGTTTAAATTAATTGACGAAACAATGACAAATAGAACATCTTTTTTGATTAATATTCGTAAGATAATTTATTCAAAGAATAGAAATAAAATGGAGAAAATTTGCGTGCTTAAGTCTTTCGCGCAAATGTCGTGTGCGCAAGTGTCCGCGCGTAAATATCATAGAAACGTCGGACAGACACTCTCACCAGCATCCGCTAGTGGAAAGCAGACGGGCTCAATACAACAAGAGCCGACAATGCATACCGATTGAGAATCATCACAAGTTAGTGTTTCATTATTACATGGAATTAGGTTTGAGCATGGTTCATTCTGTCCACAGATGCCACCACCGGTGCTCACTGTATAACATGCACAGCTAGTGTTGTTTGAACACGGTACAAAATTGTAACACGTTGCTGCACCGCACTGAGCTATGAGAGGCACATACACTGTAAAAATAAAAAATAAGATATCATTACTACAATGAAAGTGACAGAAAGGTAAAAGTGTGGGTGTAGGTGCGAACTCATTCTTACATTAGCCGCATCCACCCTTAAAGAATTCTTATCGAAATTTTATTATTATAATGCCAGTAGACTAGGGATGTAATGACACAGAAAAATAAGGTTTCGTTTTCTCTACCACTTCATAAAGAAAGAAAATAAGGTAGCTCCGCGACTACTTTTAGGTATTCCTAAGCATATTTTAGACTTACCAGTTGTCACATTATCGTTTGTGGTAGCGATTGTCGTCGTTGTAGTATCTACACATAATTATAAAAATATATTCGTCAATAATAAGAGCGCTTGTGAAAGATTCTTATTTGATGTAAATGACACTGTTGTGTCCGGACATATTACTAATGCCGAAGATGCTGTTTAGATGAAAGGAAAAAAAGGATCTTTTTTGAAACTATATGGATATTGTTGAACTTTTCTGGATCCTAGGAACCACTTTTCCCTCTTGGAATTGCTCATTACCTTGCTTTTTTGAAATCAAAAGTCCAGCCGCAATTGCACCTCCTACTAATAGCAGCAACAAGAAGCCAGAAATAATGAAGCACAATGGTGAACAACAGAAACCTCCAGATCTAAAATGAGCAAAGATTCAATTTAAATATAATAACTACTTCATCAGGGTGTGAGTGTTGTGTTCTTCTTATATCCATACGTATACACACACCTCTCAAGATAAAATAGAAAAAAACATACCGATGTGTTGTGTTTGATGGTTCAGTGGAATCTGATTTCCAAGGCACGGGCGCTTGTGGAAACTCCAGCTTAGCAATAACTATGGCAATTCCTTCAGTTCCAGTCATTCGTTGTCAATACTCTTTGATGTTTATTGAATTTATTGTATTGTTAGCTTTTTCATTTCTCTTTATACATTGCAACACTTTTTTTCCAAGTAAAAAAGTATTTATTTGTATTGCGAAGTGAATAAAACAATTGATTTCATATGTCAGTCATTCTTTTGTATACATTATTCTCAATAGTTTCAAACACTTAAAGGTGACTAATTGTCTGCGTCGTCAAATTTGCCAACCAATTCGGTCGTTCTCCTTCTCAAAAATCACGAACTGCACTATTATGATGGGAAAGAAAAATAGAAATTTTATGTGATTTGTTCGTTTGTTGATATAACAATAGCTGAAAGTTGAATAAAGTAAAAGGACATTCTCTGCATTCTAAATATATATATACATAGTGAGTGATTCAGACGATTTATTTCATTTAGCGACGATTCAACTTTGAATGCGGTCTATATCAATCGTGAGTATTCAATATAAACAATAAAATTGTGTTGATTAAGTAATTACCTAAGATTCAAACACGTTAGCTTCATAAAAGTCCCAAGAAAAAGCATAGGCATTACTGACCTAACTGAGTTTTCGCTGTCAACAACGCCTGCCTATTATTTTCTTGATACTCGAAGATTATTGGTCAAAAATTGTGACCAGTCAGTTATTTGTAGTAATCTTTCTGTAACCAATGAACATTTTTAAATGGATGGGTGTGGGTGTGAGTTAAATAAAATACCCACACCCACACCCAGTCCCATTTGTTCAATTAATACATGTATTATCATAACCATTTGGTATTGTTGCAAACCGCTCGGATGTTAGGTCATCAAATGTTAAATAATTAAATTAGCAAACTCTATACAGTGCCGGCAGAAATTATAAAAATAGACCCTTTTTTTAGGTTTTTACATATATTTTCCTCGAGTGATAATAAATCGCAAGTCTGAACATATGCATTTCAATGTCCTCTTACT